CAATTTTTGCCTCTGTCACAGAGTTTTTGGTCACTCCCTAGTCCATTTTTGAAATGACCGCCAACACCCTCATAAAGGGGAATTTCGTGCTGGAAGGTGATCAGACAACACTGGTAGAAAGCCAAAAAAAAGTGGTCTGCCTTGTTCCCTTCACTAACCTCTTCAGTTTCTTCCAGGATGTGAATTTGGCTGTGAGTCATTTGAGTATTTTTATTGATGTTCACTCCCTAGAGCTCAACAAAATAAAAACAGGTAAGACTTATTTTTTGCATGTTACATAATTTCTTAGTACTTCATAACATCTCAACATGTACGATTATCTTTGTTTTTTTGTGAAGCTTCTCTTGCGTGCATAGATAAAAAATGGCTAATTCGTCACTCCCTAGGCAGTCACTACCTAGCCTTAATGAAAATTCTTAGGGGGCTAGAGAGTGACCATGATGGCTAGTGACAAATGGTTAATTCTCTTCCAATATCCACTATTAAATCCGCAAAAAAAAATAATTTTACTGGTATAAATGTACTTTACCGGGTGCCGTTTTTTTTTTTTTTTGAAACCTATGTATTTCAATGTTTTAAGAACGATGGCTTAAAAAAAATTACTTTTTGAGTTACCTACAGGACTTCAAAGTTTATCAATTTCAATGGTTTTATCTTTAATACCCAAAAATTACATATTGTAGGAAATGCAGCTTATGGCTTCGTGGTCAAAAGTATTGTCTATCAACCCAAAGATCTCGCGTTCATATCCTGTCAAACAACCTTTTTTTTTGCATTTTTTTTTTTTGTATTTATTTTTATTTTAACGTTTATAAACGATTGAAGCCTCAAAAACATTAATTTACCTTGACCTATCCACTTATAGATCCAAAAAACAATTGATACATCAACTTGAACTTACAGTATTATCGTTGCGCAAAGCACCGCAGGGCGCGGTGTGGCGAGCGGCGAACGGCACCCGCGAGTGCCAAACACCCGGTGTACTAACATATGAAAGGCCGTATCTTTAAGGTCGTGTAACTCAAAAAGTAATGATTTTCGCAATTTTTTTTTTTGCGCCATCGTTCTTAAAACGTTGAAATACATAGATTTCGAAAAAAAAAGGCGACCGGTAAAGTACATTTGTTCCAACTATATATTAAAGCTTTTTGCGCGTTTTAAAATATTTTTGCTCTCTTTACGAATAAAATTGAATGAAGTTGTTGATTTCAGAAATATGGCGCCAACGAAGAAGTTAACTGATAGTGAGAAGAAGGAAAAGAAGAAAGAAGCTGCCAGAAGGAGGCATGAAAAAATAAAAAGGGATACAGTATAGGCTGCCTTAGAAGCTGAAAAAGAAAGGAAGAAACATGAAAGAAAAAATAGTTAAAGCAGATAAAGTTGGTTAAAGATATGACTTCTAGAGAGTTAGGAGCAACACGAAAAGTATGGAGGATTAGAAAGAAGGCCTCAAGAGACAAAGATAATCGAGCTCCTCAAGTTGCCCAGGATATTGAAAATAACATACCCCCTCTTACTGATGATGAAAAATATGTCCCAATACCAAATCTCCGAGAATCCCGGCAGCATTCAGGTAGAAAAAAGGTTAGGAAGGAAAGATCAAGGGTTGTCAGAGAGAATAAAAAATTGAAAAAGCAAATTGAAGATTTGAAAAGGCAACTGGCAACGTCGCGTCAAAGACTGTATCGGTCTCAGAAACAAAGAAGGAATGACAGTTCCCCCCGCAAAGTCATTGTTCAAGACTGAAAAAGTTATGTTTTCAAGTATTTTATAGCGGAGCTAGTTTTTTTTTAAGTTTTATAATATGTTTCATGCTTAAAGAAGTAGTATATGATAAAATGTTAAGACTGCTAAATAAACATTTTCTGTTAAAATTGATACTGTGAAGAGGTTTTTATTTCGTTTTGTCTCTCCCTAGTCGTATACGTCACTCTCTAGAACCAGACTTTTAAGTAAAATCAATATCACGAAAACTATGACATTAAGTGTGTGCCTGCTTCAGGAATTTGGCAAGGAACATTTCCTGAAGGCAATGAAAATGAAAAAATCAAAACAGTCGACTGATTTCCGAAAAAGTTTGATGCCTAAATAGCACCAAAATTGGAGAATGACCCTTATATAAAAAAAACCTTTTTTTATATATGTATAAATAATTTTATTTTTCTTAAAAAAGAATGGCAATAATTCTCAAAAAGCGAATGGGGACTATACTAGAAACTAGAATGTAGTATAATTACAGTTATACTAAATCTTTTATAATCGAGAAACAAAAAAAGATCAAAACAATTATCCCACATTATGGGTTATGTTTAATCCAACACCACAGGTACCAGTGCCTCAAATATGGATTGATAATCGAAATATTCGACGTAACCTACCCATCCAGTTTATGCAGACAACATTCTCTAGCGTATCCCAAATGGCTGGTCCATTCAGAATAATATCCATTAAAACAATGGTATTACCAAACGTTAATAACAGCAGTGGTGTTCCCATATAACGTCGTTTTCTCTTAAATCTCAACTAATTTGCGGGAAAAAAATAGTTATTGTTTTTGAAGTGGGCGATTGATGTCTTTTGTAGAAAACCGAAAAATAAAGGGATTAGTATCGGCAGATAGGGCGTGACTCAGCGATTACAACGAGGGGTCGAGCGTCTCTCAAACATATCTCAATTTATAATTAATATATACATATATCAAAATATATATATTCACTATTATATAGCATATATATTATTCTTTTGAATTTTGTGTAAAAATGGGGGCCTTAATTGTGCTTCGGTGGTGCTGAGCAATCGATCGGTCATCAGTGTTCGTCAGTGTTATCTTATTTTTAACAACAAATCTAATGCTGATGATAAAATTCAAATATCGTCCTAATGGGTATATTCTTGGAATAATGGCTGGTAAAAGTAATAGAAAAAATCAACTGGCTTCTTTGAGGAGTAAAATTAAACAACACTCAGAAACTGAATCTCTAATTTTCAAAATTCATCATTTTGATGGACGAATCAACTACGGTTTACAACTAAGTGCACTATAAATGTTTATATTTTGTCATAATTTAATACAGATGCTCCCATAGTAGCATTTCTAGATCTGATTGAGATAAATGGACAAGACGCTGAAACTATTGAGAAAACCTTCTGGTTAGGTTTAGAACATGTAGGAATATCAGGTCATTTGCGTTGAAACATTTGATGAAAGCGATGGTGCAAGTGTGATGATGGGTAGGAAAGCTACAAAACTATATGAAAACATACCGCAAGTATTCTTACGGTATTGTTTATTCCACCGCCTTGAACTATCATTACATTGACACGGTCGGGTATTGCCATCACCACGGTCTGGACTATTACCGTGATGACAATACCCGGTCGCGGCGACAATCAGTCGTTATTATTATATTTTACCGTGATTCTGATAATCAGACGGTTCTTGTTTATTATCAGTTAGACGACGATCGTGTACGGCGTGTTTTCTATTTAATAAACAGTATATTTGGACGACTACTCTGGTGTTATTATTTAAATTAATTCTTGTATAATTATTGTCTACGGTCACGACAACATGACGTCCTAAGAAACTGCACCGGTGATCCCGTTTTCAGAGTTTCGTGGATAATTACCACTAAATTCCATTAAATATCCTTTGGTCTGCAAGTAGTTTTCAAACAGTTAAGGCTATATGGAACAACTATCCTGGCATGCATGACTATTCCATATTATGAAGCACATGACTCTTCAGGGTTAAATCACTCATCTTCATGCACTGAATCTCTTTCAATTATTAGTTTTGCTATTTCGTTTTCAAATTGTTCATCTTGCTATCATATATACATCCTCTCGTAGATTGTACCCTCTCAGCATAGCTCTCGAAAACGTATCGTTTTAGATTGCCCAGATAATTGCGACTATTATACTTTAATGTCTCTTGTCCATGACGCGACCAATTTTTTCTCTAATAATTATGTTGCATTTTTCACATTTTATAGAACTTGGGAAGACATGTCCTATTTCATTATTTTTATTTCTTCTGCAATTTACTTAAGCTTTCCAACCGGTTGTCATAATAGTGGGGCTATTAGTTTGAAGGTGTTTCAGGGGTAGCGTTTTTTGATACGCCCGCAATTCAAAAGAGGTAGTACCCCCATCAAGTCCGTGTGACAGTGAACTCTGTAAACAAAACCACCCGTGATTGAGTGTCGAGCCAAAAACTCAACGCTATAAAATACCTACCTGCTCTTGTATACTGTTTAATGTCGTTATGTATAAATCTAAACCCTCGGATAAATTATGTAAAAATGCTAAATATAAATGTTCATATATTAGAGGATCGTTATAATGTTTTACAAAATCAGTATAGTATAATAAATTATGATATCCCATAAAATTTACTTACTCTACCGCAACAGTCGAGTGATTTAAAATTTTGGTTGACATACTAAGACGAAAAGGATCGGTTACAACCCACTTGATCAAAATGATGTAAATTTATAATACCGCATTCAACTTTATTTCTCGTAAGAAGTAACACTTCTTCTAGTATTATACAATAACATGAATATAAGTGTTTTCAAAAAACACTTAAAAACACTAAAAAAACTGTAGAGTATTAATTATTTTTCGAGAAAACTAACGTGCTACATTAAATTCATTGCCCCGTGTATGAATTAAAAAGTCTAAATCCTAAAAAAAGAATCTCCGTTTATTTTATTGGAATTGTGACTCCGCGGCCATCTCTGTGAACGAGAGACAACGCCCGTTTGGGGTTTTTTTGTTTGTTGTTTTCGCTTCACGTAAATACGCAGTACAATTCATCTCATTTACAATAAAACTGTTGGCCAATAAACGTGTTGACAATATTATTTATTTTGCTGGCCCGTTTCAGTACTCAGTGGGCGGTGTCGACTCGACCATAAACGAACTCTTAGTACCTCATTGTCAATCGTACCGGTGCGCGGTGGTGGTTATTTGATTTTACGTGGTTTTTAATCGAAATGGACAACAGTAATGTTAAGTCGCGCCGGGTGGACGCCGAAGAAGAGTCCAGCGACGACGAATCGATCGTAGAGGCACCCGCCGTCGTCGCACGTCGCCGAACGGCTTCCATGGCTTTCGACGCGGAACCAGCCGACGCTTGTAAGCGGCGCAGGAAGCGCAGGTGCCGTCGCCGGCGCCGCAGTAGCTGCAAGAGGCGCCGGCGTCGGCGCAGCACGTGCAAGAGGAGGCGCCGGCGGTCGTGCGCGAAAAAGTGCAGCGAAGACGACGAGACAACGGAATCGGGTGGCGAGGAAACGGACGAGTTGGACTTGCCCAACGGGGGCGGCCGTCGCTACCTTGGTCCCTCGTCGACGGTCACGCCGGCAGTTGAGCTGGGCGTGGCCCCCGCAGACGCGTGCCGGCGCCGCCGCAAACGTTCGTGCCGCAGACGCCGCCGCAGCTGCAAACCGAAATGCCGCAGGCGCCGACGCAGCTGCAAGCCGAAGTGCCGCAGGCGCCGTCGCCGCTGCAACGACTCCGAGGGCGAAGAAGAGATGGACGACGACGACAACATGACGACCCTCGCAGTCGGGCCGACGATGAGACGTCGCACCCGTAGCCGCTCGACCTTGCGCATACGACGCAACACGCCGTCCACTTCAGCCGACAAGCGTGTGTGATCTCGCCGTGTGTTTGCCGTGTTCGCCAAAGTCTGAAAATATTCAAAATTAAATGTATTGTATTGTTTTAAATAAATAACGAAATAACAACGTTATCATGACGGCTACAGCACACATCGTATGTAATGACACTGAACTGACCCTTTCAATCATTCAGGATCCCTTTTTATCCTTTCGATACGAATTGTTTAAAAATGAAAATCGGACACTTCACAGGATGGTTCCCCCGACCGGAATCGAACCCACAACCTCTTGGTTGATAGCTCATGGTATTTACCATTACGCTACCTATACGTAATTACTACTAACGGTAGAGCAAAAGGATGCCCTTATAGATTTTATGCAGTCATCCTGAACTAGTTTGAGGAAAGTTTACTTCCTTTTTACGGCAAACTCTGCCAAAAGACTATGGGAAAAATACCGAGATGTACCTACGAAAGAGGACTACCCAGTGGGGCATTATTATATTATTCGGATTCAGCTCCCTGATGTCGTATTCTAGCAGACAGCAGATCTTCCTGTTACATGCTATATCGCACCCTTGGTGCAAACATTGCCACAACTCAAAAAACATTTCAAGATTGCAACTGCTCAACTTGCAAAAGCATGTGGTAGCATTATAAGGTTTAAAACGTTTAGCTGGACATAAAATAAAGTAGACCTGTTATGTTTGAAAATAATGATGAAGTTATTGAATTTAAGAACTATGTTAGCTACTCAACGCGTAGTATTTATGCAGATTTCGAATGTTTTTTGTAGACTGTAAACGATTAGTCTAACAACACTAATAAAAATAAAAATACATACATAGCCAATCAGCTATGGATTTTTTTTTATAAAGATTGACTTTAAAACAATACCACTCGAACTAATCCACGAGTTTAAAATACCTACAAATCCAATTTTTTATTGGCGTTATCTGTATTATTGATGGTAAATACTTATCAAACATATTTTTCCAGGCCTAGCCTGACTCGACTAGATTATTTCCAGTTTTTTTTGCTGATTGTATAACAGTGACCCACTGTTGAGGGGAATAAATTTAACCTCCTTTCAGTATCCTTGTTTTTTTGTTTTTCGATACATTAATTTACGGAATCACCTTCGTTCTGCGAATGTCATGAAATACTATATTTATTAGCTAAATTAGCTTTTAGTTATGAAACACAAGCAAATTCATTTAATATTAGTCTTTAGAGCCTAGTCCTACAAGTATAAACATAGTTCCAGAATGTAATGTAGACAATAAATGTAATAGTACTGCAATCGTATGTAGCATGGCACATAATTAAATTAAGTATAAACACCACTTTTTTTATGACTTGGTGCGAATTACGCTAGCGTGACTTAAATTTAGAACTTTTTATAAATTTATATTGTTTGCTGATTGATTTAATATATACCAAAATCATTGATATTGTTGTCATGGTAAACCTCCGTTCTTTTGAACCGATGTTTATAGCATATAAATATGACTAACCCGTGTGAATTGCTACGGGTATTTGCTATAAACGTTTATTACGCCTGAAATTGTTATCAATTTGCGATTTTCACCACCGTACCAACATGTTAAGAATTAATCAAACGATATCGGACATCCCTCTGAAAACAACAGCCGGAGAATTCGGCACACACGATTATTACAAAGACAGTTGGGGCTTGTTAGTGTGTTACGTGTCAGACTTTTCAGCGGTTTGCGCCAGTGAGCTAAGTAGACTGGCATCGTGCTACAATGAATTCAAAAGTCGAGGGGTCAAAATATTAGCAATGTCTTGTGATCCTCTCGAAACACACCTCAGATGGGTCGAGGACGTGAGTAAACTATGTGGTATCAACAAAACGGACGAATTCCCCTTTCCCATAGTATCCGACCGTAACCGTATGCTGTCGTTATATTTAAACGTACTGGATTCAAAGACTGTCGACCAAGACGGAGTGCCGGTACCATGCAGGGCTACGTTTGTTATTGCACCCGATTTAAGTATACAGCTGATTCATTTTTATCCACAAACTACAGGCCGTAACTTTGACGAGACATTAAGGTCTATAGACGCCTTGAAACTGTCGTTTGATTGCAATAAGGATATTTTGACACCTTGCGAATGGAAACCAACAAAAAAGTGTTTAATATCGCAAAGCCTATCAAAAGACGTCATAGATGAAAAATACTCCAATTCGACTATTGTCAAACTGCCATCAGGAAAAGAATATTATCGATTATACCAACAGAATAAAAATCAAAGTTTAAGAGAATGATGATAAAGACTCTTTTGAGTAGACAACTTATGTATTGTTCATTCATTAAAATGTTATATAACTGTTCATATTCGACCTTTTTTTAAATTATTTTATACTTATATATACAAATGTATGATACTCGCTACTTTCTAAAATTTTCTAAGTTATTTGTGTACGATTTTTATTGAACAAATGTTTGCTATTAGAGGTGGGTCGTTACTGCTGTAATCGGTACAAAGTAACGATTTCATAGGTGGAACGAGTACATTTGATCGATCCACGTTTGTTCCATCGGTACAAAGTTCCTATAGTATAAAAAATTGAAAATAGGCATCAAAATCTTTCTATATTTAAAATGTAGCTTTATAGTTTTCGATGTTTTCAATTGTGTTAAGGTACACTGTTTACGGCATCTGGCGTTTCAGTTCCAACGGTATTTTGTGCCTTGGTTTGTATTATACCTGAAACTGTCTGAGCGAGTTGTTGGTAACCGAGTAGCGAGGTAGCGAGTTGTTGTGTTTGACATAAACACGTTTTTTACGACTATTATTAAAAGGGTATAACGTCCTCTTAAAAAACCAAACAATAAGATAATTCTATAGAGGCAGTTAGAATGTTTGTTTATAGTAAAATGACCAATACCACGGCCGATAATCGTTAAATACTCGAGGTAGGTAGTAAATCATAACAAATAATATTTTTGGGTTATCCAATGTTTTGTACACTTGATGATTATTAATTTGTTCGTGAATCCCGACTAATAACTGTACCTTCACTCGTATCGTTATTCGCGTGTATATTAAAATGGATAATAAAAAAAGTGATGTTTGGTGTCATTTTCATTTAATTAACGGTGAAAAAGCTAAGTGTTTGTACTGTTCTAATGAATTTTCTTACAAAGTGGGCTCAACTGCTAATTTAAGTAACATCTCAAAAGAAAGCATATTATACAGTATGAGGTAAGAAAAAAACGGTGTACCGAAAATGTGGATGAACCCGATGTAACTGAAGTATCTGAAATTTCAAAACAACCCGAAACCCACTTACAAGTAGGACCTTCTTCTGTTGCGAAAACTATGCATTCTTTGGAAACAACTCAGACCCGTATAGAAAATGTTATTTCAAAGCCCCTTTCTCTTTCTAAATCCCAAAAGCTTGATGAACAAATAGGAATTATGGTTGCCAAGGAATTTCAACCTTTTAGCCTAGTTGAGAATAAAGAGTTTAAACGCTTTGTCCACATGTTGAATCCAGGATATTCAGTGCCCTCGAGAAAAACCATTTCTAAATCCATCAAACCGCAGTTATATCAGAAAACTGAAGAAATTGTAAAAACAAATTTAAATCAATCAAAATGTATTGCTTTTACAACAGATGGGTGGACGTCGTTAAATAATGATAGTTTTGTTGCTGTAACGGTTCATTTTATAAATTATGTAGACTGTGTGCTAAAATCGCATTTATTGGGGTGCTATCATTTTGAAAAAACTCATAAGGCGTTACACTTATCAGTTTTTATGAATAAGTGTTTTTTAGAATGGGACATTTCAAATAAAATTAAAGTGGGTGTAAGTGACAATGCCGCCAATATCACAGCAGCTATAAATTTAAACAAACAATGACATTTACCGTGTTTAGCACATAGTATAAACTTAATTGCACAAAGTGGGTTGGATGAAATTGAAGATGTACACAAAAAGGTAAAAAGCATTGTTGAGTTTTTTAAACGTAGTCCGCAAGCTTATTCTAAATTAAGAAACGTTCAAAATCAAATGGACGGTTATAAAACTTTAAAACTTATACAAGATGTAAGCACTCGCTGGAACTCAACATTTGATATGTTTCAAAGAATTTTGGATACAAGAGAACCCTTAATTTCAACGGTAGCAATTTTAGGCAACTTTGCAAATTTGAGTCAAGCTGACTTTGAACTAATCGAACATTATTGCAGCATTTTCAAACGATTTAAAGAAATCACAAGTGAACTCAGTAGTGAAAAAGACGTATCAATTTCAAAAGTTTTAATATTAGTTAACATTATTCTGACCCACATAAAAAAAAAAACACAAGAAACCGATTTACCAAAAAATGTTTATTCTATGCTTACTAAAATGGAAAGTAAAGCTAAAAAAATTTCGCGATTTACGCGTATAGAGTATTTTTAGGCAAGAATAATAAACCTAAACAAATTGTTGCAATTATAAATACAAAAGTAATTAAACACCACCTTTTAACTGAAATAAGGAAGATGAAACTAAAGACAAATCAAGTGAACCAGAATTGAGGAAATGGTAACACACAAATATATGTTAATGAACAAATGACATAAGCGAATAGATCTCTTTTTTCAAGGCCAAAAATTTAGCACGGGAGGTAGGTTAAATTCATATGGTTTAAAGATACAAATGTTTTTGTTGTAAATCAACGCCATTTGTTGATGTTTTGATAGTCTAGGTAATACAATTGTAATACCCAATGACTCACATTTTGTCTTAAGTATCTAGTAAATTTGGTTGAATTCCTTTTCGGCTACTGTACGTGACTCTCAAAACTTCATCAGCTAGTGCCATTGATTAAAAATGAAGGTATGAACAAAAATACATTTTTCTTCTACGCCGTTATTTCCTTTTTTTAATTCCTTACAAACATTTTCCATACACTTTATCTTATCTTATTATTATTTAGACGAATTAAAAAAAAGTTATTTTTATCAATATGTAGCTTGAAGGCCCAACGCTGTCATCACGAGATGAATTTGATAATTAAAAATAATTTATTCATGTGGGAAAAACGTACATTTTACATTGGCTGAAAAATTCTGGTAGCTATACTCGTTTATTTTGTTTATTTTTCCAACAAATTCTGTGAATTTAAATAGTATCTGAATAAAAAGTTTCTGTAATATTATTAATTGCAGAAATAACTACAGTAATCTGATAAAAGTAATTTGTATTCGCGAAATACGAATTAAACATTTATCTACAGTACAGTCGACGGTTGCCATTCTAATGAGGTACTTTTGTATCGATGACTTTGCCGTGGAGCCTTTCATACCAATCTCTACGACCACGTTTTTGGTTGGCCAGCCAACCTTAGAACCGGTCATGACCGACGGCGACAAATTGCTTCGATCCAATCTTCCTCTCAATAAAAATACATTTGCCAGGTACATGGAAAAGTCACTAACGGAGCTAACTTCTGAAGTCCTTACAAGTCCATACCAAATGTTATCTACAGCCGACAGTAGCATTCGACTACCGGACAAAGATGTTTACGCCGAACCTATGAATGCAAAAGTATTTAAAGTAAGCTTTTGCTCGTTGAAAAAATGCAAAATGTATGGCGAATGATCTTTTAATTTATCCCATTAGAAACAAACTACGAGACATTAAATAATATTTTAATATTAATGACAACAATCCACCTAAACGATTAAAAAGGAGTGGTGCAGAGAATAAAAGTATTGTCAGTAGGCGGCTTTTCTTTTCAATCTAACCATGTGCAGTCTTCTATTTATAATGAACACTTATACTTGTTGTACTGTATAGATTATATTAATCAAATTAAAACATAAATAAATAAATAATAAAAATATGAATGACGACGAATATGCAGTTATTAAAACAGTTCATTATTGCAACGTTATATTTGATAAGATTATTTGAAATAGCTTTGTTCATGTCTATACGATACTGTTTTTAGGTTTTAAAAACCGCCCTCATGCCGGATTATAATACTTGGCCGGTGTGTTACTTAACTAAAAGCAATGTAGATAATAACGCGAAGGGCGCGGCTAACACAGTCAAGCTCAGCGAGATACCGGTCTACTCAAAAGAGAAAGCATCCGAACCACCGTAAGCAAGACACGTATTAAAATTGTTAATAGTTCCTTAAAATAAGACACTATTTGAATAAAATCTCTCAAATACGACCCGAATAAACCAAAGCACATATTGTATGATCTTAGTTTTTTTTTAAATGTCACTTGTACCCCCTTCCCTTTGGTTATCTTCATTAAGTTTACTTTACTAAGGGATACTGGAAAATAATAGAAAATTCAATCGAACAATTGTTATACTTAAGCTAAAAATGTTAAAGCATAAAACGATCTAGGCTTTCTAATATATGTATTATCAACTTACATCCTTATAAATAAACCATATTTTATCAACAAGTCTAAAAGGAGGGGGAGTGAAGTGCATAGTATTTTCGGGGCGGTCACAGATTTCAAAGAGGGTACTCGCCTTTAACAACAAAGGTATGTGAAGGTCAGGGCACTGTCTGCACAGCGACCCTGAAGGTGGTACCCGGCTACGCCAGCCTTGGACACTGCGTCCTATGATGTATCGTGATGGTAAGAATCCGGATTAAAAGTATAAAAAACCCAAAGTTTTAAAATCCGAATCCCGAAACTTGAGTAAATTCCCTACCAATTGAAAAACACACCTTTGACTTCATAAATAACAATATATCGAGTATTATAAATTGTATATTTTTATAAACCTATTATCTATTTATTGTATACCTATGTTGTTTAATGGTTTTTGGTCGTGTGCGACAAGACAGAAAAATAAAAGTAGAGGATATGCCTGAAAAACAAGAAAGTGGATTCCATAAAATAACCAAACCGATTTTGGTCGCCTCGGCGGAAGCCTGGAATGCGTTGGGAGACGAATTTAAATCTGTGGCAAATATGACCACCGAATATTTCGACAGTAATATAAAAAACGACTACATGTTTTGTTTTTACACTGCGAATAGCACTTAAATTGCCGTTTGGTTGATAGAAAAACTCGAGAAGCTGAGAGAGGGCGAAAACGTACATCTGAGATGCACGACCATTGCGGCTGCCAGCTTCGTTGGTTTTACACTCGGATTGCGAGGAAAAAAGTTCAAAAAAGCGCTATTCACCACAATGGGCGGATTGTCAGCAGCTGCCGTGTGTTATCCACAACAAGCCCGAACAGCCGGGGAAGCCACTAGACACGGTATCATCGTGGCGTATCACATGATCAACGGCCGTACGTGTACAATTAATTTGGCATCAAATAAAATTACAATACCACAAATTAATATAGAGACCATCCTTTCTAGTCGCGGGCAAATGGGTCCTATTGACAATTTTTAAACACATTTTAACCTAATGCTATAGGTAGGCCTGAGTATGGGAACAAAAGTGTCACAATTTTAGGAGTTTTACGTCTTCTTTTAAATATTTAACGATTAGTTTTTGCGCGAAATTAAATTGATCTTAGGCCACCTGTATAAATTGCTAATATATAATTCAATTAATTTATTATTGGCATTCTGTTCGTGGATGTTTATGTGTGTGTTTGTGTACTCGCCTGTTTGACTGTTGGCATGTACAATTATCAGCGACTATGCGGATTAGAATTTTTCCCTGTAATTTTACCGGTATGTTGGTTCGGTTATATAAATTAACTGATTAAAAAATTTGATGGTGATTAGGTACAAAACACAATTCGTGAGGCAGGTGATATGTATTAGAAGCTGTATGAACTCTAATATTATTAGACGGGTTTTTACCAAGAGACGATGCTACATGATTTAACAAAACTTTTATTATAATGTGTTTCTATTAGAGATTTTTTACGGTCGTTGAAAACAATTGGTGCCTGACGCATGGCAATCACGTATTACAAGAGATATAATTCATTTAAAAAAGCTACTTGCATGGTATTCGTCTCATCCACCTTTTTCCAAAGTCGGTAAAATTATTTCAATAGTCACCAGTTCAGTAGGAGACAAAAACCATAAATTTTTATAAATATATTGAAACAAATTGAAAAACATGATTGGGCATAGATATGGATCTGTCAAACTTATGAGAAGCAATTGAGTAATGCTTTTAAAGGTAAAAGCATCTTCTATTAAAATAAGAGACGAGTTAATACCTATAGAACCATTATTATTATTTCAAAGAATTGAAAAACATTAAACTGCAAAACAAAATGATATAAAACTTAAATCGCTTTTGAAACAAAAAAATCACCCTTGAACTAAACAAAAAAAGTATGCTGAAGAAATTAATATTTTTGAAGATAGAGTTAAAAAACACATTCTTATAAAATCCAAGATGGCGAACCTCGGAGGGATGTTGCATTTTTTTTCTTAACCATGGCATTTAGATGAAACTTTCTGATAAGTTTCAAAACTTAAATATTTATTGAAAGGCAAACCCTCGACTGGACTACCCACTCTAGCTGTCAAACTGTACACTGTGCCTCTTTAGAGTTTTCCAATTTTTTTAAACATAGCATTTATATTTTTAAAAATATTATTTTAAAATTTATAATTTTGTTATCGAAATGATTTCTAGATGATTATAAGGAATACAGCGAAAAAAGAAAATTAAAAAAAATGGATATCATGGATGACAAAGAAATAGACTCTCCTAAGGGAGAAATAGATTCTCCGAAGGAAGAAATAGACTCTCCAAAGGAAGAATCTCTAGAAGATCTAGCCCAAAGATTCGCTAAAGATTGGAAACGTTCGACTTCAAAAAAGTAGAACTACTAAGTTAATATACGGGGATAAGTAGGATTTTATATTTTACTGTAATATATTTTGTGTGTGACTTGAGTTAAAAAAAGTACCTTTTTATTATTTACTCTGAATATGCGAATATGCATGTCTTTAATCAATATCTTGGGGTTTTACAAACCTTGAGAACAATCGATTCTACCGATATGTCCACAACACGTCAACCTATTACTATTTATTTATTATTGTAATATATAAATATCGTATTTATTTATCATAAGTATCTTATAAAACTGTATGCACAGAATAATAAATTTGCATTCATATAAATATTAAAATTGTTTTTAAATAAAACTAAACGACATATGCACTCAGCAAACCACAAAAAAAAATATACAAGAAAATCATTGACCAACAATACTTACTTTATCAGTTATGCGACTACTAAATAGCAAGTAAATCTTGCAACTGACTAGACATAAGAAATGATCGTCGGGTTAAAGTCTGTATAGTGAAGTCGGGACATGAGGTCATGAGTCTATATGAATTATTACAACTTCTTTTACTTCTTATCGTGTCCGGACCGGTTTTTGAAGGATTGGTTAACGGAATTTCGTATTAAAAATCCGCCGTTTCAGCGCCGCCCGAATGTTACTAATAAAGTCCAATCTTCTTGGAGGCTCCTTCAATGCCATCATTATTACAACTGAAAGTAATAAAATTGACACGATCAGGGGGAATCCATCACCGTGGTATAAACAAATACTTGTGGCCGTGGACGGTGCTTCCCGAGGAAGAAGTTTAGGAAAAAGTTATCGTGACTTCAGACACAAAAAAAAAACATTGTAAAATCTTCTTAGCTGTCAAAGCTAATTCCACCTTTACTTTCATGTTGCTGTAGCCGAGGCACTTGTTTTGTTAGATCCACCAGTATCAGTACCTACGAAGATACTGGTTACATATTTTAAATCTCGAATGTGAAAAAATCGGCCAATTTAAAAACGTTTTATGATAATATAAAACAATAACCAGATCGATTTTTTTTTTAATATTATCGTATATCGGTTTCGAGTTTTGAAGAGCTATTGGAAATACTACGACCATATATAACGAAAAATAACACAATATTTCACAATGCTATAAGTGCCGAAGAACGACTTACCATTACTCTTAGGTGAACAAATTTCTACAAAAATAATAAGCATTTAGATTTTTAAGAAAATCCAAATTAATCTAATACATAACAAATGATTTACATGATAGTTCAGTATTAGCTATAAAATAATTTGTGAGAAAAAAAATACTCAATCGGTATTTATTATAAAACTATTTTAATTTTTTATTTAAAATATGATAACGAAGTACTTTTTAACACGTTTAAACAAAAAAGCAATTCTTTTATAAATAACACCGGCACACAAAAAAAATAAAGTAGAATGTGCATTTCACCGGACACGTACGTACCGGGTACGTATTTTGGTGCGCTGAATCCGAATTCAAGGTCAGTTTGACCCCTACACCCTCGAAATTTCGAGAAAACTTCGAAAAACCGCAAAAATGATGAAAATCGGCAGTTTTAATGATAAAAAAATTGTTTGGAACTAAACTAAGCGTGGTTTTTATGTATTTCGATCCGCTGAATATGAATCGAAACTTTATTGAGACCACGAGCCGTTTTAAATGTAAAAAAATCACACAAACCCTCCAAAATTCCGAAAAAAGTAATTTTTTTTCTTTTTTCACTCTTGTTTCTGACTTTTGAAGACTAAATTGCTTGTGCCTGTAACCAGGGCACCTCCACGTGGTGACGGTGGGCAACAGAACCATCTGGCAGAGTCCCTGGGTTAACGGCGTGTGTGCCGTCATGGCAGGTACAAGTGATAAGTACTTTACGATGCAGGGAGTCGGAAACCCAGTATCGGCGTCTGGTCAGGGTGAGGAAGCAGGCCCGCAGGCGTCGTCATCCAGCGACTGCAGCTCTTCAGAAGTGGGAAACTTGGCTACTGGAGAGTATACTATTACAAGAAGTAATTCTCATATGTGTAATAAAAGTCCTGATTCATTTTGTTACATTTGTGGAGAATTCAATTTGGAAAGGAATCGAAGATCGTTTTCTGATAAGATCAAACAAATTTATGAAGAATGTTTTCGTCTCCAAATTACTAATTTGGATTCAGCATGGGTTCCACATACGATTTGTAGTCGATGTAACATAATGTTAACCCGGTGGAAAAAAAACAAGAAACATGACAACTTGAAATTCACAATACCAATGATATGGTCTTCACCAACTGGTTTACAGAATTGTTATTTCTGTATGACAGATACTACCGGGTTCACCCGGAATACAAAAAACAAAATTGTATACGCCAATGTTTCATCAGCTATTAAGCCACAAAAAATAGAAGTTGTCGAGGAAATTAATACGGTTGAAGAAATGGATGTAGAAGAAGACGATACGCTAGTTGAAGAAAGTTCGGAAGAAGAATATTCAGAAGATGAAGAGTACTTACCTGGCGGACAAACAAAAGACCCTGAAACGTTTAGCCGAGAAGAACTTAATGATCTGGTTCGAGACTTGGCTTTACCGAAAGATGGAGCTGAATTAC